GACGGAACATTGTCAGTAAAGAAGGAAGAGAGAAGAAAGATCGCACTAAAAGGAGAGAAAAAATAGAAAGAAAGAAAGAGAGAGATGAAAAGGCGGATGAAGTTCAAGGTTACCGCGCTTGAATGCACGTCCCACGCGGAAAATAGGAAAAGAGGGAGAATATATTTTCCAGCTTCGAGGTGAAACATGAAACGCTGGCCGGATGGTGGGCGAATCAAATGATTTCCGGAAAGGAAATTTGTGGACAAACTTTATGTTCTATGAGACGATTTCCTGATCAATCATTAGCTATTTTAATCGAAAGCCACTTCCAAAGTCCATATTTTCATGTCATCCAGTCGATGAACCATATTTTGATTAAAAATAAAATGAAGTTTTTTGAAGTTTTTTAGAAAAGTAATTATCAAATCTACAACATGATTAAATTATGACTGAATCAATATATATTTCGTTTATCCTATTAGATTTTATTAATGATTATTAATATATATTATACTACCTATTTTCTTTCGTCTCCTATGTATGGAAAACGAAAATCATATAATGAAAAATTTTGTAATTATGACTTGTCATCCAAATGACTAGTACTAATTATTATTACGTGTCGATGATGATACAAGTATAATGCATGTACTTGCAGCGAGACATGAGCTGCTCGGTAAAATTCAAAGTGATAAACAAGGATATTTTCTCGTTTTTTTCCAAGAATCGCGTATTCGGTAGGCGTTTCGTAATGATACATCCAGGTGACATTATTACGAGGCGATAATTCTCGTGACTAAGTACAATGATGATGCGACTAATTCGTAGAAATTCGTATTGTATCTTCTTATATATAATAACGTATCAATATTGTGGAAATATACTCTTCAAGAAATCTGCAAAAAAAATCAGAATTATTAATTACAAATTTTAAATTCATGAAGAAATACAATTATAAATAATATAGATTTTTATTTATTTAGAAATTAAATCTAATTGAAATATAATCGATTAATGAGTTCATGTTTAATGTTTCTCATCAATCGTTTTATCAGTCATAATTGTATATATAATGCATAGGAATACATTGTTCAAGGTAATCGGTATGAAACGGTCTCCAGCTACTACGTATTATTGTTCTTTCATAGATATGATGCAATTGCATGAATTGCAATCAATCGCGGGACCACACTTAAAAGTTTCTCTGTTAGAATTTAAATCGGTTGATAATTTCACTTTTAGTTTTATAATTATGAAACAAAGATAATTGAAATAGAAGAGGATAAATAGATTAAAACACTTATTCAGAAACGTTGAATTACATATGAGAGAAAAATGTTAATGAAAAATAAACAAATCTCTAGAACAAAAAAGAAAGAATAAAAAAAGAGAAAAAAAAAGTAGACACTTTGAAGTTGAAATTAAGAAGGGTCAAGACATACGAAATTTTTATATAAATATTTTACATATGAATGTTTCATGCTGTTGAATTGCTGTTACGAAAAAATATTTTAGTTTACTCCATATAATTAAAAATTAATATATTAATAGCATTAGCCATGGAACGATATGCAAAATCTTTTAAACATTGCGGGAAACCGCATGTCCACTTAGAAAAGTAATTCTGAGAAGAGGAATTGGGCTAGATTCTTGTCCCATTGGCCTAGCAAACTCCAACTAGATCTCGAGTTTGTTGTCTCGGCTCTTCACTGTACTCAGACCGTAATCGTATTTGGGTTAGCATGTCCGGACGTGGCCCGGACGTGGCAACCTTGAACTTGCCGCCCCGAATGGGCCAATATCAACTCCCAAACCCCTTTTCCATCGTGAGAAAAGGATGGATACCGGTAATACGTTCCAGGAAGGGAAGAAAATAATCGGAAATCTAAGGACATAACGAAGAATTTACTACTTTTAGACCGTACTACAAGGTCTTTCCGATCTTGCATCTTATAACTCGTTCAAAAATTGAATTTCGAGAAAAGTATATTCTGAAACGATTGAAAGAGCATAGATTTAAATATTTTGTGGGCATAAATGTATGATATAATGGGAAATGATTTATATATTATATGATAAAATGTTATAGTAATTGATATATATATATATATATAGAACATAATTTTCATTCTAGGCATAAAGAAAATGTTGATAGATTTTTTAATTCACTAATGAAAAATATTATAATTTAATGAAAATAAATGAATTTGTAACAATTGTTAAATCGAAAATTGATAGCAATCTAATCAAATAAGAAAGAATAGATGTATCACCTGTTGAAAAAATTTGTACATTTTTTTTTTAATATTGAAAAAGTTTATGTAGCTTTCATAAAGATTTTTATAATTTATATGCAAATTAAATATTCTATTCTAATTGATTTTTTTATCTTTAAAATATAAAGTTTTTCTCTTAAATATTTCAAGCTAAATTCATTTATATAAAAATAATGTTCATCTTTATTAACATTGTATGACTTCATAGCATATTGGGTGGATCTGCCTATAGAGATCAACTTTTTCCGAACCTTGAGGCGAATAAGATAGTCATGGACGACCTCGAGCAAGTGTTGGCTCCCGGCTACGTATAACGGATTGCCCGTGACCGGGGAGGACCTTGGCCATGGATGTACGTCGGATGTCGTGACGCAGGCGTCGCGACGCGCGCGTTTATTCCTTTCATAATTTCTTTTCGCTACAAGTTAAAAAAAAACAAAAATCGAAAATATTCAAATTTATTCAATAAAATTAATAATAATTTAAATTAATAATTCAAATTGTTGAATTTATTTTCTTTTTGCAACATCTTTTAATTTAAAAAGTAATAAAATGTAAATAAATAAAATTAAAATTTTATAATTAAAACCAGATTTTATCCCAAATAAATTTCAATGAAACTTTTATGAAAAAAAAAAAACAAAAAAATTAAAATAATATTTCATTTCTCATGACAAGAAATTTATACAAATTTATACAAGTTCATAAAAGGATATGTTATGCAAAATATAAATATCCACTTAAATTTTATCAGAAGAGAAATCATAATATTTTTAAAATTAATTTTTACCTAGAATTAAAAATAGATTTCTTCGTAAAAAAATTTATAAAAATTTAATACTTCATTGCTTTATATTTATAATTATGTATTATAAATTGAAGAAAATCCTTTTATAAATATTTCTATTAGAAATCTTGTAATAAAAATATTTAGATCTTTTCCTGATTGTTTCTTTTTCTGAAACCAAGGAAACAATAAATTAATTATAAATAATTATTTTCAAAAAAATTCAAATTAAATATATAATAGAAAAGAAAGTAATAAGAAATTAGAAAATACATTTGTAGAAAATATATTTGTTTACATTTATTATATATTCATTTATTTATTTTTATATCTTATAGTTACAATTCTTTTATATTAATCAATAACAAATAACTCAATCCTATCTATTACTTTAAATTCATGTTACAATACATACAAGAAAAAGTTTTAATGGGGTAGGCGTTAATAGTTCAGCTTACCCTGAAACAATCGTCGTCGACCTTGCATCAGTCTCAACCGGCAACTTACGACTAGCGATGGAACCGAAATTCTCATAATCTAATATCAAATCGAAACAAATTGAATATATAATGTGTTAAAAAAATACAAATGCAATACAATACAAATTTCAAGATGGCCACTCTCAACACTTAACGTTAATTTTTCATATATTTTTCCTATTATTACGTATTCTATTTCTTCCTGCATATTATAGTGTATAGATATATCATTGCATAAAAAATGTATCGCATCTAATATGTTAATTCAAAATAATATGAAAATAAATATCCGGTACTTACTATGTTCTTTTATGATAAGTTCATTCAGAAGATTTCAACATCATATAGGATGTAAATTATTCAATACAGATGTATAATTTTTCAAATCATCAAAATTTAAATTAATAACATCCTAAAAGCATTTAATGATATATATAGATCTTTAATAATACAGTCTAAAAATTACATTTTAGTTCGTGCCCATCGCTACTTATAACGGTTTGCCCGTGACCAGAGAAGACCTTGGCAATGACTTGCGCGACACGCTGCGACGCACGACAAGCCGGCTCATAGTGCGCATGCGTCAATTGCGCACGCATCTCGCTCGATGCATTTGGAGGTCGCATATCCCGTGCACACCGACTACAGCAACCTTGACCTTATACCTCGGCCCGCTAGCCAACGAGGTCCATCCCCTCTTGAACGGTTGAAGGTCATCAGCATAGTGGCTAGGAAGCCGGGACGAAAAGAGGGAGACAAGCTGATGGTAACGGCTGCGGAGAGTAAAAGAGGACCTAGCAAAATCCAGTCGCTCAATCTCTCTCGAGGACGCGTTAACGATTCTCAATTACCGCGCGTCAGCCCTTGTCTCACTGCATCTACCCCCACTACTTCCATAACTTGACTATCTTTTTTTATATTTCGATCTAACTTTTCGCATTTACTTATTTCATTTTGATTCATATATTCACAATATTTTTATTATGAATATTATATTTCGTTTTAATTCAATGTTATTTATTTCATTTCTATTTTTTAGTTTTGTGATTCAAAGTTATATACGAAAATAACGACAAAGATTACAAGAAGAAAATTTCAACATATCTTTTCAAAAGAATGAATATGTAAATGTTACGGCATATATAATGGAAAGTTTAAGTTTAATTTAAGTTTTTAAGTTAGTTAAAATTTAAGTTTTTTTATCTATTAAATACAAAACACAATTAAATTCTAATTATGTATTTTTTTTATATTATATAGTATATAAATGATATAAATGATTATTCAAGATTTGACATGGTAAGTAACTAAAGTATTCATTAATTATATTCGTTAATTTTGAATGTTCATTTATATTTAATTAATAAAATAATTTTTTAAAATGTTAATAAATTTTTTGTTTTAAAGATCAAGATAACACATATTTTAATAATAAAGCAAAAATAAAATAAAATTTATTAAGATAACTGCGATAATCTATTAATTTTAATATAAACAAAATCAAAGAAACATTTTCTTAATTTTCAATTTAAAATTAAAAATAGAAATTATATATTTATCGAACTTATTTTATGAATTATTCAAGTAATAATAAAAAATCAATTGAAAAGATTTTAATATAATGTACTTAATAAATTAACTAATAACTGTGCAATCTATAAAAAAAAATTCGATGCGATCGTAAAGAGATTACAAAATCTTAATACTTATATCTAGTGGAAATTACACTGTGGAAATGAAATGCTTGTCTCGTAAATGATTCTCGTACAGATTAGAGACGGTGGAAAGTCGAGGTCGCCCTTGACGTAAGCGCCAACCGCGTAAAGAACACAAATACCGATGGTCTTTCATAAAAGAATCTAAGTCAGGAAACTTGACCGAATAATATCAATTATTCATTGTTTATATTTTTGAAACAAAAAACATTATAAAACAAAATTTAAAAAAAAACAAAATTATTTTATCAATATTTAAAATTGTCATCAAAATCATATATTGTTATTGATTATTATAGCATATTAAACTTCTAATATTATCAAAAAAATATTTTAACAAGTATGTTTTTCATTTTTTATATAGTCTATTTCTCAATTGTGAATATTTCTGATGCAATATTTTTCATCATAATTTTAACTCAAGTTAAAAGCCATCAGATCAGTTCAAGGCTTCGGAATTTACCAAGTTCAACCTTCATATCTCATAAATAATTTTCAAATAATTTAATAAAAAAAAATCGATAATATACATATTTAAATATATATAATTAAAATATTGTTTCATAATATAAATTAATAATTTTACTAGATTTATACATGATATTTTACATTTTTACATTTTCAATAAATTAGAATAAAAATATTATTTGTATAACATTAATCAAAGCGAAAAATATACATGATAAAAACATACTTATTTGTCATGTAAAAATCGAAAAAATTAAAAATAGTTTCTCTTCTGAAAATCAGCATTGGCGCCAATATATTATTAAGTTTTTGAGCATCGTTATAGCATCTACAAATGTTTGACGCCAAATACAAACTTGATTTACGGCTAAGTAAATTGGAACGAATGAATATTATCATATCTCGAGATCGACATGTCCTTTAAAATAAAATTAACAATTTTTTCCTTGGAATAATAACAAAAATAAGCAAAAAATTAATAAACATAATATAGCATTGTGAATTTTAAATATCTTTTTTAATGAAAATAATAAAATCATTAATTGTAGAAGAAATGTTAAAAAACTTTTACATAAATTCAAAAATACATGATCGAAACTAAATCGAACATTAATTTTCAATATATTTATTTTTTTGTACCAAAGATATTGTATTTCATCATATTATGAAATTTATATATCAATAAATTTGATCTTAACATCAACCATTGCAATAAATCGCTTTTATATTAATTATATCATAATTGATATTTTCTGCCAATTAAAACAAATGCTTAGATGACAAAAAACTTTTGAATAACGAATAATAAAAAATAAAAAAAAATAAGAACATGATAGAAGATTCGTAATTACAAATCATATCATATAAATGTAGAAGCATATTTGTAAAAATATACCAATGATGAAGCTGATGAGAACGATGATGAGATTTTTGGCAGTGAGCCAAAAAAAGTTTCATCGACTACTTTCATTGCAACGACGATGTAAAACGATCTTTCTAAATGCCATCGGCCTTGTCCTTGACATCGACCACAACGTCCCGACACTACGCAGCTATGATTGCATCAGAATGTTCGATGTATGGAATACACTAGGAAGGAAGTTAGTAAAAAGCAAAAAAGATAAGAGAGAAGTAATACTAAGTCGATCATAGTAGGAGGTTTCACATAGTTGGACAAGTGGATAATAAAATTTATTTATATCATTTTTTGCATGTTATATGATTTTATAAATTACATTAAAATTATTTTAAAACAAATATTTTTATTTGTACTTTTTTACTTTTTATTATTTTAATAGACTTTTTTCATATCAATTAAAAAATCCGGATATATAAATTTATATATAAAATTTTTTGGAAGTATTTTATGAAATATAAAATATATAGTAACATAAATATATAAAATATCTATCTAATTATATAAATTGAATATTTAAAAACTCGATTATTTGAAAATTACAATTTGTGATAAAAAATTGTAATATACTTTGATATATCAAAATTGAATAAAAATATATAAATTTATAAAACAAATAATTTAATATTATAAATATATAAATAAATTTCAATATATATATTTTTACTATATATATATATATATTTTTTTTTATTCAACTTTTATGTATCAAAGTACATTGCAATTTTTGATCACAAAGTGCAATTTTCAAATAATTGAGTTTTTAAATATTCAATTTATTATAATTAGACATTTTATTATTATTATATATAATAATAATAATTGTGTAAGTTATATATACAATACATATTTATGTACAAAATATAATATTAAAATTTCAAGGAAAATAGTATCTATCATGTGTTCAAGTAGATAATTTATTACTTTAGTTTCCTATTTTTAATGCATTATATTGAATATTGAAGTTTCAAAATAATGAAAATCACTAATATGATCATTTTATATAAGAATAAAATAAAAAAATTAAATTAAATTAAATTACTTTAATTTTTTTCCCTTATGATTTTTAGGTTTTCCTTGAGGTGGTTTACCATGATTCTTTTTTCCACGTTTTTTAGTTTTTTCTTTTGCTTTTGTTGCACGTAAATCTTTTTTCATTCTCGGATCAACCAGTTTATAACGTCCTTTAACGCCAGGTGGTCTTTTCGTTTTCTTTTGTGTCATATGTTTTTTCATGACTACATAAGTAACATCTTTTTTCGGCTCTTTATGAGCTTTCTTATATAAACTAGAAAAATAGAAGATCACAAATAATCAATTTCATATGCATGCATAAATACATAAAAAATATATAAAATTTTTTAAATAAAAATTAATGCTTACGTTTGTATTTGTTTTGCTTTTTCTTTGTTACTAATATCAGTATTATCCATTATTGATTCCACTTTCTTTTTTGCTTTTTCTAATTTACGTAACGCTCTACGCTTTTTTCTTGCCTTTGCTTCTATTACCTTTTTGATTGGTCTAATATTTAAATCTTCAACACGTTTTTTATATTCGTTAACAAGTTCATTTGGTACTGGTATTACATTTTTCATGTGTTTTTCTTCATCTTGCATAAACCAATCTGGTAATTTTTCGTCATTAAATGCATATCTATTCCAAGCTGAATCTATTAAGTTTCTTCGAATTTTTTTACTCTGTATTAACAATGATCCCAATGCTAAATCTTCTTCTGATAAATGTTTCCTTTTCTTTAATTTATTATCTATATATTATAAAAATAATTATATTAAATCTTTTATTTACTAAATAAATTTTATTGTATAATATCCATACAACATACTTACTTGTTTGAGAATTATCTTTGTCATTAATTTCATTTCTTTTAGATTTTTTCATCATTTTATTCACATCATAATCAGAATCTGAATCATCATTATTAAGATCATTATTATTTTCATCATCATCTTGTTTTTTTTTTTTTATATTTTTATGATTTTTTATTTTATTTTCTTTATCACTATCTGCAGAAATGTCTTCTCCTATAATATGACCACCTTTCTTTTTATATTCCTCGACCATTTTATCCAATTCAAAATCTTCATCTTTTTCATCTTCTAAATTTTTGAATATATCCTTTTCAAACCATAATTCTGCTTTGTGAATTCTTTTAGTTTTTTTGTCTCTATGATCTAAATCAGTTAATAAAGGATTCTCGAAATCTTCTTCAATATTATTTTTTTTTTTTTTAATGTTTTTAATATTTTCATCATCAGATTCATTTAAACCTAAAATTTAATTGTATAATTGCATAAAAATATTAATAATTTTATAAATATAAAAAATTATACATTTAAATAATGTATAAAATACCTAAATCTGATTTATTACTATCTGAATCATTATCTGAAGCATCATCCGAATCATCTGGTTCACTATCTTCTGATTTATAATATAAGCCTGAACTATCTAAATGTCCTTTATCTTTTTTATATATTATTTTTTTTGTTTTTTTTTGTTCTGTATCTGAATCTACATCACTTTCTGCTAGTATATTAGGATCTTGATCCATTATATTTTCTAACTGTTGATGTGTTTTAATTTCTTTCAAACTAAACATATCATCTCCTTCCAATATAGGTCCTTCATTTCCTTTATGTATCATTTTTAAATTAAGTCGTTCATTTAATTTTTGTCTCTGTTTGTTGGCCTTTTTTTTCTTTCGTTTAAGATCTCTAGCTTCATTTTCTTTAAGTTCTTCAATTTGTTTTCTAATTTGTTCATCTTCTATATCTTCCAGTTCTTCTTGACTCATAGGTGCTGTTTCTATTGTTTCATCAAGCAAATTTTGTATATTTTCATCTATTGGTTCCTTTTCTTTCAAAGATTCCTTTATTATCTTCCACCAATTAATTAAATTTCGTAAGTCCTTTTTACCTAATACTTTAATATCTTTACAACATTCCTTAATTTCCTTAGTTGTTTTTTCATGATTAGTTATTATTTCATCATCAAAAACGATTTCAGAAGTATTCTGCAATGCTTCTACAACATTTTCATGTGCTATAAAATCTTTAACAGATAGTTTATGGTATAAAGTGTAATCATTTTCTGGATAACCTTCTACTTTATCTTTTTTTTTTGTAGGATTAAATATATTTAATTTATTTGTAGGTTCTATCTCTAATTCAGAAAAAACATATTTTGGATCTAAAAATTTAGGATCTAATTTATCTGGTGCAATATAATATTGACAAATAACAAAAATTTCAGCAGATTCTGTACGTGATGCTTGTGGTTTAGTTGCATGTACCTTAAACAAAATACACAAATAAAATACACAAACAAAATATCAATATAATAAAAATTATTTTTGTAATAAAAAAAATTATATACCTTTTTAAATAATTGTTTTAATACCCAAATCAATGGATTATAATCTTTTGAACGAAAGACTTTTGTAATAAACCAACCACCAGACCGCAAAAAATGCGTTGCCATTTTAAGAGCACTTAAAGTTAAAACAATTTGTTGATATGCATCATGGAGCCAATTTTTACCTACATTTGGTGCTCCATCATGTAATACAACATCAGCTTTCCAGGTTTTTAATTCACGTGTAATTGATATACGGCATTTATCCGTTGTAATATCTTCTATTAAACTGATACATCCTGGAATGGGTTTTATAGGAAACAAATCTACACCAATTACTATGGAAGATACTGGCATATTCTGCCGAGCAACTTGCATCCATCCTCCAGGAGCTGCACATAAATCTATACATACTCGAGATTTTTGTAAAAATTCAAATTTCCGATTCAGTTGAATCAATTTGAAAGCCGCACGTGATCTATAACCTATAAAATATAATTTATTAAAAAAATAATTTTATTTTTAAATCATATATTATCAATAATAATATAATTTTAAAAATATATCATAATTTAAAATTCAATATTAAAATATTCATTAAATGAATAAGGTTATTTTTATTTTTTTTATAAAATAATATTATTTCAAAATATTTACCCGTTTCCTTTGCTAATTGATAAAATTTATCTTTTCTTTGTTTTCCAATTTTTCCTTTTTTACCCATTTTAATTTATAAACGATTTTATTTTTTATAGAAAACTTATTTCAATGAAAAATATTTCTCTACAAAAATAATGGTAGTGTACTAGCGCTACATTATAGTCCATATATATCTATATATAAGATATTTTAGAAGTGGGGATAAAGAAAAATGGACATTTAGAAAATACATTTATTTTTAGGAAAAAACATCAACCTACTTCCAAATGCAAAAGAAAATCTTTTATGTATAAACATATAATATTAATTAATATGATATTAATATAATATATAATATTATTTAATAATTACATTTAATAAAAAAATGAGTCACAAAAAGTATCAATTTTTCTATTTAATATATTTTTCTTGTAACTGTAACTTTTATTTTGTATACATTTAAATCGAAATTGTATGAAATTTACAAATGATTTTGCAAAAGATGCAAAAGAGTATAGAATGAGAACTGCAGGATGAAATCAATTATTACTTCCATAATTTCTTGATGGACATATTTTTTTCTGAATCTTTTTGCATGACTTTTGCTACAGCCATTTCAAAGTCTTCTTGGGTAACATGTACACGACGTTCTCTAAGAGCATACATACCAGCTTCTGTACATACACCCTAAAAAGAAAAGAAATAAATAAATAATTCTGGAAATAAAAAATGTTAAAAAATATTTTCAAACTGTATATTAAATACCTTCACTTCTGCACCCGATGCACCAGGCATGAGTTCAGCAATTTTTCTTAAATTTATACCACGTGTTAAGTTCATTTTTCTCGAGTGAATTTTTAAAATATCGAGTCGTGCTTCTTCATTTGGAGGAGGGAATTCGATTTTACGATCTATACGTCCCGGTCTTAATAATGCTGGATCTAATATATCAATTCTGTTTGTAGCCATAATGACTTTTATATTTTTTGTTGCTTCAAAACCATCTAATTGATTAAGTAACTCGAGCATTGTTCGTTGAACCTATAATATAATATAACATAAAATATAAAATAATTATAATATAAAAACTTTTAAATAAACACTTATTTAAAATAAAATTTTTTTATTCTAAAATATAAAATTTACTTCACTATCCCCTCCCGAACCAGATTCAATGCGAGAACTTCCAATTGAATCTATTTCATCCATGAATATTATAGATGGTGCATGTTCTCTTGCCATTACAAATAATTCACGAACCATTCGTGAACCTTCTCCAATAAATTTTTGAACCAATTCAGAACCCGATACGCGAATAAATGTACATTCAGTATGATGAGCAACTGCTCTTGCTAATAATGTTTTACCTGTACCTGAAAATAAATGAATTTATCAATAATATTATTGAATTTTTTAATTAAAAAAAAAAAGAAAAAATTTTTTTGTTTATTAATTTTTTATTTATTACCTGGTGGTCCATATAAAAGTACACCTTTAGGTTGGGCAATTCCAAGAGCATCAAATAATTCAGGATGTTTAACAGGTAATTCAATAACTTCTTTAATTTCTTTGATTTGTTTATCTAAACCACCAACCATTTCATATGTAGAATCTGGTACTTTTTCAACCATCATAAGAGAAACAAGTGGATCAACTTTATTTGGTAAAATTTTATGCAAAGTATAACTTTCATTACGTAATGCAACTCGTGAATTTGGTGTCACATCATTAATATCGATATTTTTATCTATATCTACTACAAATTTTCCTTCAGGATGTACTTTGACTAAAACTTTTTTTTTATCCATTGGTTTAACAACTTCTCCAACATATGATCCTTGTTCTTGAAGAAGTTGCAATTCTTCACGCAACATACGTACTACAAAGAGATATTTTTATTCTAAAATGATTAACTAAAAAAAACAAAGATATAATTATAGAATAACATACCTTTTGCATTAAGCTCATTACGTTGTGCTTGTAACCTCCTCAAATTTTGACTCTTTTCAGCTACAATTAATTGAAGTTCTTCGATTTTAGTAATGTAATATGGTTTAAAACCTTCTCCTTTCATAGTTTTTTCATCTATTTCCATCTAAAATATTAAAATAAATAAATACTACCATTAAATAATAAATATATATCACGTTATTTAGCTTCGAGTACTTACTTTGTTTGTGAGCGTCATTGTTGCACTCACTATTTATCTATAATTAAGTACAAATTATAATTATTTTTATACTATCATTTATCTATAAAAATAAGTGTGAAAAAAAATTTAAAACTTGACTTATATATGATGTTACTAGAAGAATTGCTTGTCATTGATACCTACTGTACTGTAATGTAATCCTCGATCTCAAGTTGGGAGTCGATTACTTGCTATAAGGTTATCGACAATCAATTTTATATCGATTAATACATTTATTGCATATTGATTACAAAACATTAAATGAAAATTAATAAAATTTAATAAAATTTTTAAGTTAAATTAATAAATTATATTTATTTTTTTATTTAATAATAAAAACTATTAAACATTTAATAAAATTTATTATCGCTTGATGTAAATCATCCTTTAAGATTTATAATTTCATTAAAGAGTAATATATTATTTTTCAAATTATATTATTAATTATAAAATAATTAAAAATTATTGAATTTATTTTTTAGTATTTCTTAATTTATGTATTTCCTAAAAATTATTATTATAATTTATATTTTTGTAAAATTGGTAAGACTGAACGATAACGGTACTTGATACACGCTTAAAAATTTATAGAATAAAATAAGGCGGCGACGCGGAAAATTATATATATTATGTTAGAATTCTTTCACCTAATTTTTAATTTTATAAAAAATTTAGCACGCGCGTGAATAATGGAAAATGTTTTGTTATAGTAATAGCAAAATACATAATATATAAAGTATAACGTGAAAGTATTCAATACGCCACGTGACTGCATGATTTTTATACAGTTTAGATCACATAGGTTAAGGTGAAGACACTCTAACCGGTCGGCGGGAGATGAACTTTGTTCTTAGTTTTTATATATTTTTTATGTAAAAAATGGAATTTGACTTGTCGTTCAATTATATGCCAATATTTTCCATTATTTTATTACTATTTGTCACGTTCACTACAGTCTTCCAAAAACTTAAGTAAGTATATTTTTTTTGTTTTCTCTCTGGAATATTACAATTACAATTATATCATATTTTGTTTATATATTAGATTAAGATGGCCTGTAAAAGTGAACTGTTGGTTTTGTAACAAAAATATAAAAATTTGGCGACAACAGCTTAATTGGTGGATGTGTCCATATTGTGAACAATACAATGGTTTTTCTAAGGTAAATTAGTTTTTTCAACTAAAATTTTAAAGGATATATTATTCATAATATTATATTATATTATATATATTTATAATATTGAAGATTATATTCATATGACACATCCAAAAATTTTAATTCAATTATTAAAATTTTATGCATAATGTATCTTGATTATTTCACCAGGTTGAATTAATTGATTCATTAAATATTTTTAAAGTTATTGGAATATCTTGATACAGAATTGAAACAATCTATCTATGCAATATTGTTTTTAAAATTCAATATTTATTTTGGATACTGTTCCTATATTTTCTTCCATGTCAAATTTTAGAATGGTGATTACTCATATAATATACCAGAACAATATAAGAAACCTTCACATGAAATCAAAAGATATTGCACAATCAACCAAAATATGACTAATAAAAATATAAATAATGGGCTCTGCAAACAATGTAACATGAATGAAAACCTAAAAATATCAAAAATATCTGGTTATATACCTGAAAATGAAAAAAATTATGAATATGAAATTAAAAAGTTGAAAGATAATTTAGAACAACAATATCCATTGTGTGCAAAATGTAAAATTACAGTAAATAATGTATTATATAAGCAAGCATTATGGCTTGCACAATATAAAATGTTATTATTTAAACAAAAACCATTCTGTATAATTGCCAATGTAAGTATTATAATAAAAGATAAATAAAATTTTATATATTTCATATTTTATTGATTTCTTTTAAAATATAAAATTGAATTTTCAGGACAAAAAATGTTGTGAATTTATATGCAGAATAATAGCAACAATATTAGGTTCTATGGTAGCATACAATATGGAATTCATATTTTTGCCAGTTGGAGGGTTATTTTTTCAATTCTGTGCTTGTTGGATAACAAAAAAACAAAATTCTGATACATTACTTATGTTCTTATGGATTTGTATGATTACACTCTTACCTTTTAAAGATACAAAATTAATTAAAGCAGATTTTCAGAATTCGTGGTTTTCTCTAGAATATATAACTCAGTATCATATGGTAAGTTAATAAATTAAAATAAATTATATTGCATTAATATTATAATTGTATTTTAATATATAATGTTTTTCAATAATTTTTGTTTTAGATAATATTATTTATCTCAATTATAGGCTTTATAAATATCATACCTAAATCTCATAAAATTACATTAAATAAAAATATATCATTTAAAAAAATTGAATCTTCTACAAAAAATATAGAATTATTTGATTCATTTACAACAACTTCAAATAATAAGCACAATTTTAAAATTAAAACTATTGGTAATTTAAATGAAAATGTTGTTAATCAATCGGTAGAAAACAAGTCTCAGTGTGTAGGAAATTCAATTAATTCCAAATCTATAATTTTTCAAAATTTATTGTAAGTAATTTATTAAATTATTAAATTTTTTAATTTTTCATTAATTTTTTATAAAATACAAAAAATAATTATTTATATTACAGTACAAATTCGGAATTACAGTCATCGCCAATATCTATCAGTAATGATGCAATATTTAATTCTACACCCATATGTAAAAAGAATATGATAGATAATAGTTACTCATTGAATGATAGTTTGAGTACATTAAGCATATTATCACTAGATGAAAATAAACCAAAACATTCAACTAAAATACCTAAGATTTTTCAAACTAAAGTGTATAGTACAAAAAGTTCTGAGCTCTTTAAAAAATCTGGTAAAAGACATATTTTATCACCACCGAAACTAAAATCAGTTACACAAACATCCTGGGTAGCCGGTGGTTATTGGCAAGAAGGTATAGATGCACCATCATTGTCCAGATCATCCAGTCAAAGTTCTGGCTTTGGTTCTGTGAGTTCTAATTTTGGTCCATCTAGAGAACCATCTATACATGAATTTGATCAGTGTTCAGTTGTATCTGATACAACACAATCTTGTTATACATTACGGCAAAATAATAGTCCCATTGGATCTTTTTGTCAACAAGGTCTTCAATTTCCATCAGAACCAAAAAATCAATCACTTAATAATCAAACAGTGAAACTTACATCAACTAATCTTTATACTTCACAAATGTTATTGTCTCAAAATAACAAAAGAAATAATTCAATTTTTATGGATCAATGTTCACAAGGGCAAAATATGAATATAAATGATATTAAAAGTCCCTCTGAAATGCAAATATTTCCTAGTCATACCACTATTGTAACAAGTCCCATTTGGTTACCAATCCTTTTATGTGGTTCACTTGTATTAAATATAATAGTGTTATGTACTATTTTATTACATTGAACAGGGTATACATTTTTGCTATTCTATCTGAATTTATATTTGCCATTTATACGTATTTTAGTTTTTAATTATAAAGCAAGTTGATTACTATTTTATAAAGTAATTACTTATAAAAAATAGTAATTAATAATATAGAAATTTCAACTTGTTGATAAATAGCGATACACTGCCAGTATAAAGTTTTCTATTATTATCATAAAATCTTGTTATTATCACTCGCTTCTTTATCTCATATAAATCATTGTAAATAAATATTATTTTTTTATATGCATTTTACAAAGCATCAAATTTGAACAATAATGTTAAGTTAAACGCATAATAGTGGAAAATGGGATACTGGTTCGACGGAAAAATTATCTGACGTAAACTGTGAATCTTGTGATAAAAAAAACGTTCTCCATGTGTGTTCATTAGTAAGATATATATGTAATCCAAAAAATAAGAATTAAGAACTGAAATAATGTGAAATTAAATTCACTTTATATTGATGTTTAATTTTTTTTTTTTAATTCTATTATTATATTTGTGAATACAAAAAAAATTGTTTTCATTACTATGACTTATAATTAACAAACAACATTATAAATCTTATTAAAATAATTCTATTGTTATTATAATACATGTTAATTTTTTATGTAAATTTTGGTACTTGCAATCTTGTACTATTATCTTGAATATGTTTTGAATGTTAATGTTTAATGTTTTGAATATGGTTTGAAAATAAAAAGATAAACTTTTTAAATGAGAATTATAATTTTTTTTAGTATATTCAGAATTTTTATTACAATTTTTAAAATATTTCTTATCTTTTTCAATCTTATTAAAATAATATATAATATATATTAAACAAAATTTTATCCAATTTATAAATATAAGTATTTTTTTAATGATAATTAAATATTGAAAAATATTTATGAAATAATATTGTAAATAAAAAAACTACAGATGATAAAAGTACAAGCTAGCAATACCATTAAATAAAATAAAATATCAATAAAAGTTTCTATGATGATGTTATTATATTTCTTTAAAAAATCAATATTTTTATTATATAATTATTTTAAAATTAAAATAAAAATAATTTTCAAATTACACTGCTAATTACATAATTAATATCTTAATATTTATACATATGTACATTTATGAAACTATCTTTTTTTATTTTTTTTAATATAAATAAAAAATTTTGCATTACAAATTTTGTATATATATGATGAAATCCAAAGTATTCTTTATATTTGTAAGAATATATATTATTATGTTATAATGTGATGTTAAAATAAATAAATAAAATAAATATTATATCTTTATTTAAGATGTTTGTGTAAAAAAATTTATATAAGTTTTTTAATGAATAATATATTTTATACTATTATTTTTTTGCACTTTGCACATTTGATACTGAATTTTTAACTTTAAATGGTAGTAAACAATATTCATTATCTGATTTATATTTAAAATGTCTAAGATCTGGTATATTAAAATTCACTTTTCGTCTGCGAAATCTTCAATAAAATTAAATATAAATTAAATTATATAATAAAAATTGTAATTTAACAATAACTTACTTAGTAACCTGCTCAATATCTAATGGTTTTATTTCTCCTATCTCTTCTTTATAAGTACTCCACCATTGACATTTAGCTATTCCTTCCTTTGAATCCCTATATATTTCTTCTTTTAATGCATCTTTTAATCCGAATTGAGTTAATGTACCAAAACTTTTCATTAAATCTTGTTCTGGAATCCATTTTCTTTGTCTTTAAATATAAAATATAAATTTCATAAATATATTAATAAGAATTAAAACGTTTATATAATTTATTTATAATTAATACACACATGAAATCATATATACCTTGCATTATAAGATCTAATTTTAGGTCCTTCGAGACCTTTTGGTAAAATATTATAACATAAATCATAAGTAGTTGTCATATTACTATAATATTCCTTTTCGTGATGAAAAAATTTTTCTTGGGGTAAACCCTTATGAGAAAATTGTATTCAAAGACAATATTGTAATAATTAAACATCATTTGAAGATTATTTTATATATCATTTATTTTCTATAACATACTTTAAATGGTAGTTTTGTATACCTCTTGTATAAGTTTGTTTTCCCATTTTACAATTTGATTTATTTTCCAAGTTTCATTAATATGAGGTTTAAAATCTATTTCATATGTAGTTCTCCAATCATCAGGTTGGATTATGTAATCTGCTCTACGTTCAAACCAATCACCTACTAATGTCTTTGGTGAGTACTTGTTTTCGTCTAGTAGTGGTCCACGATCAAGTGTAATTTTTGTAGGAAATAATTTTTTTCGTACATCTGTTAATGATAATGTACCATCTAAACATTGTTGTTCCACATTCCAGTTCATAACATTCATGGTATTTATCTTTGAATAATATTATAAGAAAATAAATTAAACAATAAAGTAAAAATTAAATAATTATTATATTTATTATTGATTGAATTAAAAAATAAGTTATCAATCATATAAACTTTATCAATAAGAAAAATCGGATATTTATAATTTTGATATTAAATAAATACATATATATATAATATTAATTATTTTATTATTAAATATGCTATCCAAGAATTATTACTTAAGAAATATTATTAAAAAATATTAATGTTTTTTTTACTTTTATATTTTTAATGCAATTTTCATTAATTATTAAATAATAAATAGTGATAAATTTCTTAAAAATAATTTTTCAAATGAGGAAGCGAGTTGCGTATAATAATCCAAGATACCTTGAAGCTACAGTTTCTTTAAACTGCATACCATTTAATTCTAGAAAAATTTTAGGAATCCCTACTTCATTTTATTTTCTGCTTCCGATGAGGTAGACCTGAATTTGATCGAGGGCTTTTGAAATATGTTATGACATATACACAAAACATGCAATGAAAAAAGAATTTATTATTTGCATTGCATTTTTATAGTAAACCTACTTCGATACTTATAGGTTTCGCTATGCACCATCGAGCATCAGTATAGATTTTTTTTTAAAACGCCTGTAATTTTTTTATGTTGTGGAATTTAATTAAATAAACGCACGTATATAACATATAATTTTTCGAATAAAGCATAACGTAGCAAAGCACGTGATACAACTATATGAGTTTGTCGCACTTTTTCTGTACATTTTTCGGTATGTTTCTAAACCACAATGAAACGAATATCTACATCTGTCAACTTATTTATTTCCTTCACATTCGCATATTTCGTACAGTTTACAAAAGAACGGCAGCGGTTATAGATCAACCTCCTCATTAACAGTGATTTTTGTTTTTCTATGTGTATATCATTAAATATTAACTACTCTTTTTTAATTATAATTTTAAATATGTTTGATGTATTATGAAAATAATAATAACTCTGATTTTTATTTTATTTTTTTTGTGTATATATATCGAAGATTTTTAAAAAGGACTTTTCGACAAGGATCTGATTTTTGAGGAGTTATACAATAAAATTCATCAAATTTTTCTTAAGCTTCATTGCCTGTTTATGCGCATAAATTATATAAATTATGATGTAAAAAAATAATAATAATAAACATATGTGTCAATTAGAGAAAAATGCTGATAATTTAAATTATATTATAATATATATAACAGGCTGATTTATGAATTCGATCATTTTTTAATTATATTTTGATCGTAACAAAAATTTGTTCAATAAGTACTTTCGAATTTTTTTCTCCATGTTGAAAAATCAATAATGCCTTTACAATAGTCTATAAAAATAAATGTTATTTAGTAAGAAAAAGTGGTCGATACTCGAAATTCACAATTAAAGAGTTGCCTAGGCTGAAATTTTATTTCACGATTCAGTAGCTTAAGAAGAGAATTGAATCATGATCCAAAATTCAGCAGATACATTAATATCTTAGTTGAATAGTAGAATGAAAAATACATTATTGTATGACAATATTTCGACAATTGTTAAGGCTTTGAAACAGTAATGTTACGTGTATTTTTCAATAAATACATATACTTGTAGCCTTTTATGAGTAGGGCAACTTGCAAAGATCGTTTTAATTTGCCAAATAAATGTAATGGAATACGATTATATTTACATACATTTGACAATAATAATTGCACTCATTATGCACCACGCACTTGTCTTTGCATAATATGCAAACACAATTTCACTCTCGATATCACAAAAGTTAAAAAACGGAAGATGACAAAAAATGATTTCACATGGAAACATGATTTCTTTCGTTATTGTCAACAACAACGAGAGACAATGATTTATAAAGAAAATGTTAATTTTTTTTGTCTACACATCATAAAGAATCTGCGCGTAACAAAATTTCGACGTATCACAAACAAATATTTTGTTGCGCACAGTTTATAGAAACCTATCTTAAATTAATATTGTTTAGAATTCTCCTGCTCCGGACAATATATCAAGTACGTGTGGCTCGTACATTTTTAAGAAAATCATAAATAAAACAATTACAAAAAAGTACATAAAAAGTACACAAAAATTGAAAAGCATTAATTACTGACAAATATGGTTAAAGAATAGTTTTCTAAAAAATGCATGTGTACGTTACATTCAACGATTACACTGAAAAAAAAAAAAAAAAAAAAAA